ATATTATATATAATTAATATTTACCTTTATAGTACAGCTTAAAGCTTCCTTCTGACACATCAAACAGTTCTGCAATTATCCCTCTCAGACATCCAATAGTGGCTTCTTTAGCTATTTCAAACCTCCGGATCTCTTTCACTGACGAATCGACACCCCCCGTCCACCGGTGAGCTTTCACTGGCACCAACATCGCACACTGATCTACTGAACCACTGAACAACTGATCCACTTAAACAGACTCTGGGCAGTAAACACAGTCTTTCAGAGACCGTCAGACTCAGAGTGAAACTTCATGATGCAGCTGTTTCACATCCGCATTCGTGAAGCCCCGCCCTCTGAATGCATCTGATTGGCTACTTTCAGACGTGTTGTGATTGGATGCCATGTGCCCCTTATGTAAAAGTGTGTGTGTGTGTGTGGAGCAGCCTCTCAGCATTGTTATTTATTTATTATATTATTAGATTTATTTTACCAGAACAGAACACAGTAAGAGTGTTGATTTGGCTTTATGATAAAAGAGGAGCATTAGTTTCTTAGCTGTGTCTGAAAACACTCTTGTAGAACCTGTTCTCCTTTGCTAGTTGAGGGGAAACCAGTGGTTAACACACCCTGTCACTCTCTCTCTCTTGACATATTTATGGGTGTGTTTATGATTTTAATAAAACATCATGTCCAGGCAGCTGTATTCTCAGTAAATCTGAGCAGCTTATGAACTGGCAGAGGAACAAAGGAGGTGGAAGGCAGGAAACAGCAGGTGAAGGAAGTGGGAGCTGGTGTGAAGATGGGTGGGGCAGTCAGACGATGGGGAAAGGAATAAAGGTGAGAGGACACCTGGTGGACGGAAGGAAAATGACACTGAAGCAGCTGAGGAAAGAGAAGTTTCTGGAGAGGAGGGACAGGAAGATGCATTATAAAACCCACCTTCATTCAAATGTTTAAACGCACTCTGAGGACCCTTTAAAGCTCCACTGTATCACTGTAATATAACATCATTAGGTAAGTTTACATTAGTGTTTAATCAGCTGATAATAAGAATCATGGAGAATCGTGGAGTCCACCATGATTCTACGGTAGCCCAGAACAGACAAACACGGAGTTTTTCTGGCGTCTCCCTCACATCCTTGCTGGGAGGAGCTAAGGCGTGAGGAAAGGAAACAAAGAGAGACATTAACGTAATGAAAAACACACATTGTCTCTCTCTCCAACCACATTTTACTGCATTAAACACAAACACTCCTTACTGATGCAGAGGAAGAGAGAAACCTCCAGCTTCACACTTATTGATCTTAAACTTTTTATTACCACTTAATTTTACCTTTTATCTGGGTTTCACACATTTTATGTCTTATTCTTGACGGACAATCCTGTACCTGCCGTGCACTGACTGCTGAGAGCAAACAGGATATCGTTTACCTGAAGATATCAGATAATAATCAGATGGTTTTTACTGACTCTGCCTCTGCCCGGCTGCAACGAGCTGCTATTTCTGACACTGTCCTTGGGGAACCATCCTCCAGCTCGACCCCGAACTCCCAGGCCTCTTGGACCGAAAAGTTAGTTAGAAACCGCAAGAAGGGGTGCCCGGTTAGCTCAGTGGGTAGAGCTGGCGACCCATGTACCGAGGCTTAGTCCTTGCTGCAGCAGCCCAGG